CCTCGTTAACGATCCACCTAACTACCCCTTAGAATTCCTTAATAAAAATCTTCTGATTTATTTATATAACACCTTTTTTATTCCACTTGTAAGACATTGTCAATATTATTGGAATATGTATCAAAATTCCAACAGATAATTTAATCAATGTGCAAGTAGCTTCTTCCCTGATTCAAATAACTTCTGTAAAGACGATAAATTACATGACGTAGCAAAGCAAAGTCTGCGTTAACTCGTGACGGACTCTGTCCATCGTTTCACACATTCATGGATACGACCATGCACATACCCGGAATTATATAATACGACACGTATCAAATATTATATTTTAAAAAATTTTCAAAGCTGTTTTCTTCCGGAACTCTATTTAATACTTCTTTGCCTACCAATGATATTCTGTTCAACTTTAATTTACCCCTATCGCCAAATACGAAAACGTTCAAGATAAGTTGCGATACGTGGTTTCGGTTATGCCGCGTAAATGTGTATAGTTACTTACCAGCTCCCATTGTCTCCTGTTTCAGATACAAGATGCTGGTCCACGTGCGAACGCACACGAACGAGAAACCGCATCACTGTTTCCAATGCGACAAGAGTTTCAGCCGAGCGGAGAACCTGAAGATCCATGCCCGTTCTCACACAGGCGAGCGTCCTTACGTTTGCCCGGTCGAAGGTTGTAACAAGGCGTACTCGAACTCTTCGGATAGGTTCAAACACACGAGAACCCACGCGGTGGACAAACCGTACTGCTGCAAAGTGCCGGGCTGCCCGAAAAGGTATACCGATCCCTCGTCCCTGCGCAAACACGTGAAAACATACAGGCACTACGTGAACAACAACGATAAGGTTCAAGAAAAAAGTTTCGACGAGAACAACTCGCAGGAGAAGATCAGGCTGGTCGACAGCACGTCGCCTGAAAAGCAGAGCAGTAGCACGCAGTCCGAGTCTGACAAAAAGGACAGCAGCATCGAAAGCAGCGTGTCGGGTACTAGTCCCAAGGCGAGCAACAGCTTCGAAGAGCAAAGGAACTTCGTCGAGTGGAACAACATGTACAATCTCCAAGAGCAACGCAAGGAACAGGAACGAGTCACGCCTGTAAAAGTCTACGAACAAGAGGTGAAAATTTATCCAAGGATCTACGATGAGAACAGTTACATAATACCAGACAAGATTCAAGTGAATCCCATGTACGTTACCAACAACCCGGTGATCAAGGAGAGTCCTTCGGTCCACTCGCCTCAGACCAGTCCACCTCACCTTCCTGACGCTCTGTCGTGTATCGGGATGCAGTCGACGCCCATAAAGACCGAGGAACCCATCGAGTGTTCGAACAAGGTCAGCACGGTCGATTACAGGAACATCGAGTCGATCGTCAACAGCGCACCCTGCAAGAAAGAAAGTACCGTAACTTGCGACCCGGTGAGAAATTCTGTGATAAAACGAGCTGAGGACCTGAAGATGGAGGTCGAGCAACTACCGAGCAAGGAGGACGTCTGCAAGGACACCACCGACTGTTGTTGCCGTCACAAGTGTTGCGTCCACAGCAACGAGAACATCATTGAGAAGACGAAAATCCTTTCGGATCTGATCCTGAAAGCGCAGAATCCTCTGTTCAGACATCTCCTGGGCACGGTGGATCTCCAATACGGCCTGCAGAACATGTGGGGCAACATCGTCGACACGAACAACACCTGTGGACAAGATCTTCGAGTTAAAAACGAGAACGTCGTTGAAATGGAACAAGATCTTCCTCTAGATCTGACGATCAATAAGTAACGAAACCTTGGACAGATCTTCTTGAGCGAAGAATTTATTTTTCAGGTTGTGAGAGACTGCGATGTCTCAAACTACCGACCGTGGTTCGCGTTAAACGTTTTCAGGGCCGTCCTGCGCTTCAAGTGCCTTCCAACTAATCTACCTTTAATGTTTAACGATATTCTGACGTAGAAACGAAGCTGTCGATCCAGGGCGACCTTGAACGTTCACAAAATTGAGTCAGTTATTACTCGAACCATGGCCGGTCTTTGCTTCCGAAGATTCTTATCATATAACTTCCTTTTTCTTTTCATTCAAATTAGATGTTTTCAAGTTTGAACTTCACTCTGTTCGGTGGTTATCTGAAAAATAGCTAGATTAAGAAATAGAAATATGCGGGAAGTAATCGTACCGGTGATAAAGGATCAAAGTTGAGTGGAAGGTTGCCATTGTGATTAGACTGCGAAAAGCCAAATATCTTGTAATAGGATGAAGTCAATCGAAGCAGGATACAGTCTGAAATCGAATGAGACTTGCTCAATCAAATGAGACTTAAACGGTTTGCACTGAAATCACAGATAACAGTATGGTTGGTGAATAAACTCTCTGTATAATAATATGTGTGAAAGAAATGTCTCGGTATGCTATGTTAAACACCTATGTATGATATGTACATAAAGATATATTATCTGTAAGATGTTCGAAAATGTTAGAAGCGTGGAGAAGGAGAAAAGTACGTGTGTTTCTGCGACGAAAAGAGCGTGTTTTAACGACATTAAACTATTCAATAAAAGCACATTATTTATGTAAAAAAATGTTTATTATTTTTTTTTCACGCTGTATAACAAGTTCCTTTTCTCTCCTTCGGTTGTCTGAAACATCAGCGAGGTAATACATGGTTTAACGTTGTTTCGTCCGTTTGCAAATATCATTGGAAACGTCGATCGATTTTCTTTATCAAAAGAGATGTAGATCAATTTTTAAACAGACCCGCGTAAAATTCGTAACTATTGTGAAATAGATGTAAAATAAATATGGCACCAATCTACAACGGTGCAAAATTTTATGCTGCTTCCATACTTTCTTACATTCTTACAGTATCGACGATAACTGCATCGTCGAAATTATTTAAAAGAAAAGACGAAGAAAAAAAAGGATACGTAAACAAATTATGTTAATACAAATCTCAGGATATATTGTGACTCATAAAAAGATCGGACATGCCGTCTTTGATAATTTTTAAACTTTCTAAATCAGCGTTTATGGTTGCTATAAGTTGTGTCATGCCCTGTTGTTCCATTGTCAGATACTAAAACACAAACGAAAAGAGGTTGTGCAGATTCTTTCTGAAATGCCTTTCATTTCTGTGACATCATCCTGTTTACATACCGCTTTTATATCGTCTTGCGCTATAGGATCCATCGCGTATCTCTCTTGATTCTGGGTATCTATATGACTTCTCATACGTAACTGAGAAAGCATCTCGCTAATTCTGCCTTTGAACTGAGTTGGAGCACTGATCTGGGAATGCATAGCTTCAAACCTACGAGTCAATACTTCTTCTTCCGGTTGCAAGGACAAGCCAACCTTGCGAGTGATTTCCTGACGTACCAACACCTTGAACAAACATTTCAACGAGAATCTATAGAATCGAAAGTAATCATTAAAAATGCGTGCGGTAAGTTATACGTTACCTGTAATACTCTATGCTGCAGTTCTAACAGATTTCTTCGATGTTCTTTGAGTCTAGCTTGTATCGCGGTATGTTGCCTCTGTAATCTCTGTATTTCTTCAGCGGCCATATCTAAGAAACTTCTATGCCTCGCCGTTTCTTCTTCTTGGCATTTTAATCTGTGTTTAACCTGCTGAAAGCCAATCATCGGTACCGGTATATACAAATCCGGGTTAGGATTATCCAGCTGAGCCTGTTTCCATAATCTAGGATCGATAGAGCAAGGTGGATTGTCTAAATATTCTTTAAGTTGTGCGGGATCCAATTTGACTAAAGGCAATATATCTTCAACACCATTTTGTACTAATTGTTGTTTCTGCATTGGTTGCGACAGATACGTATACAATTCGTTGGCTGGAATTTTTCTCGGGGCTCCAGTGATTCCTTTCTCGGTAATAAAAATAGTCACTTGAGTTTTCTCTTCTCCGGTTGATTTAATGTTATCTATTGTCACCGATAAATTCGGCTTATTCCCTAACACGTTATTGATAAATCCGATCAACTGAGCTTCGCCTTCTTTAACATCCTTTTTCTTTTTATTGAAACAAAGTACAACCAGCCCATCGTTATTGTCCGCGTCTGGCATACGACTGTACCCGATCGCTTTAAATCTACATAGCGGGTTTTCCTGATTAAGTTCAATAGGGTGCGCGTTCATCGAGTAGTAAGCTTTCCCCGTACCCCATAGAGCTTGTATAAGATTCCATCTAGCGATAAGATTATCGCGTTCATCGTTGTACAACTGACAGTTAAACACGGCATTGTATAGCGCTTCTGATATAGTATTAGCAGTTTGTTGTTGTTGCTGTTGCTGCAGCTGTTGTTGCTGAAATGGTTGCTGGGGTTGTTGCAGTCCGGTTCCAAAGGCAGGAAATCCTGTGCCTACACCTACAATTTCGTGTCAATTATATTAATAAATAAGAACACAGCCGAGTCGAAACTGACCTGTACCAAAACCACTGAAACCAGTTGTTGTGGCTGTGGTTGTTGGTTTTGTTCCAAATCCACCAAAACCTGTGGCTCCACCAAAAGTCGATGTATTTGGAGCGCCGAACGATCCGAAGAAAGAAGGCGCAGATGTGGTTGTTGCGGTTCCAAATCCGCCGAAACTGCCAAAGCCCAACGAGGATGTTGTGGTAGTGGGTCCAAATCCAGCGAAGCCTGTGGTCGCAGCAGGTGTGTTACCAAAGGTCGAAGCCGTTCCAAAGCCGGTGCCCGTCGAAGTAGCTGGACTACCGAAGCCTGGAGTTGATCCAAACCCGGTGGTAGAGGTTGTGCCAAACGTAGGCGCAGAACCAAACGCACTTGTCGATGTACTGCCAAAACCAGTGGCAGCTGGTGTTCCGAAGGCAGTACCACCGCCAAATCCACCGGCTGCTGGAGTCGAAGAAGTACCAAACAGACTTGGCGCCGAGGTAACTGGAGTACTAAATCCGAAAGATGGTGTTCCAAATCCTGTTGACGCGTTCAGTTGCAAAGAACAAATAACAGTTTGTTCATAAAATACATATATCGTTATTGGCGGTACAAAGTAAAGTTGCAGTTTTTACATTTACAGAAATTCGTTTTTGTTTCCGCTATACTGAACGCGCTTCAAACAAGAAGACTAACAGAGATGCCTTACATATAAAGGCAACAATAATCTATTTTATTCATCCATAGAATTCGCGCATCGAAAATACGTCATACATATTAAGAATATCGCATAAGAAATTTGAACGTAATAAAATTAAATTGATTAAATTTGATTACATAAAAAAGAAACTTGAATTATGTTCCATGGAAATCAACAAAATCAGGTAAGTTTATTGAAGTCACCTAACATTTGATCTAGTTTAAAGCATGTGTAAAAAAAAATTAAATAGGAAGAAAAATATGGTCAACTTGCTCGTAAATTATTAAAAATAGCCACAATATCTGGTAGTAAAGTCGTGCTTCGTCGTGGAGATCAATCGTCGGATGTATCTACCGAATTCGTACATGAATTTGGTACTACAGATAAAGCAATTGGGGTATATTTCATAACATATTCCTACACGATACTACTTTATTGTAAAAACCTTTAATATAATGTTTATAAAGGATGTTACGGCTGAAGTGATGTTAACAACATTGGGTAAAGTTCCAAGTGAAATGTATTATTTGGAAGATACAGTTTTCAATGGAAAAGCAGCAACAGATAAAAGTACTTTGCAAACATCTCAATATGCACAGGCTGTTGCATCAACACAAGCAATGGAAAATAATCATGGGTCCTCGGGTCATTCATCAGTGTTATTTATTTTATTAATTGTACTTTTGGTAATACTGTTATTATGCTGCATAAGCGCAGGTTTAATAGCTAAGACAAGAAGAAAAAGCAGTTTCTTTGGGAAATCTGATATGGAGTGTGATTCAAAATGTACCGGGATAAATCAACCTCTGTTAGATAAAAATTCAGATCTCACAAATAAAACGAGTATTAGCTGTCTGAGAAATTAAAAAGAAGGAACGTGGTATGAGCCTGTATAAACATAACATTTCTTTGGTGAACAAGGTATATGAAGCAGCATAATAAAATTTAGAGTATACTTCAAAGTATAAAACTTATTGGGCAAAATAGGATTTACAAAAAATGTTAAATACGCCATAACGTTCGATCAAATGTAAAATATAATACGCAATACGGCTATAAATATGTCCAAAACGGTCACATGTAACGAGAAAGGACAAGAAATGTGACTTAACCTAAAAAGAAGTCAACTCACCCGGTTTTACCGGTGTCGCCGTCGTAGAAGCCGTTGCACCGAAGCTAAAAGCAGGAGCGGGCGTCGAAGTTGTCACTCCGAACCCCGAGCCAAATGACATTTCTCAAATTAAACTAAATTTGACGTATGATAGAAACACGTTTTTACCGCGCGCGCTTTACAATTTCGTATAAACGACAATGCCACAAACATGGCGTCTGACATGCGCAGGAAACGTAAGTTCTCTCTCACGCGCAGGACGTTCGTCACGTGGCATTCTTTCCGCTTATCTTCAAACTATTTCAAACAGCTGTAATAAACGCAACTATTTTACCGTTAAATTGTAGCTAAGTTTATTTGATTTTTTAATACACTTGTATTTCATTTGTACTACATATTTTCATAATCGCCGCAGGCATCTATGATGTATTAAATATACGTATTTCTTTAGAGAATTGTACGTGTCATCATTTAATATTTCAAACAAAATTGTTCGTAAACCTTTCGTGTAAAGTTGTGCAAAAACACGATCACTCGACGTTGAATCTCGAAAGCAAAGCATCGTGATATTTCTTAACTCGTTAACACGATGAACATTGGTGAACATTTGTTGATTCGATCTCTTATTGTTAGTTTATTTGAGAGCGCGAATCCCTTTCGGCAAGCCCAAGGTTATTAATAACAGATACAATATATGACTTTTTAACGAATTTTATAATTTAAAAACTCAAAAATAAATATATCTCCATATTCTAACATACATATATATGATACTTTCTTCAACAGTTCGATAAGACTATACATGTATATCGTATAATAATAATATTATAATCGAGCATTGTTTCACGCGACAGTCAATCGAAGAATAACAGTAAAAAATATCTGAATGAGCGCGATGATTATATCAGAAACGATTCAACAGAAATACTCGTAAAATCTCTGTAACCATCATGTACACGTAGAATGGTGAAATTGAGACGCACGTGTAACAAAAAATCTTGTGCTCCATGAATTATCCAATCTACGTTATACACGTAAGTCGTTTTGTATACTGATAAAATTTAAATTGCAGTCAAATCACATTATCATTTCTTCGACAATGTGGAACAGTTTCCAAACTGAACGTCCTGGTTTCTCTAACGTTTAGATTCGCCATTCAGAAAGATCGAATCGTTTAATCGTTCCGCTAACATAACTATTAAATATACCTTTGAGTTTCGACTAAGTCGTAACATCAATTGCACTGGAACATTTACAGTTTCTCTTCAAATATCTTCCAAGGTGTACATTGACCTTTTATACGACTTTTATAGAGGGAGAAAAACAGGGAAGCTACTGCACCCCTCTTGGGAATCATCCCCTGTTGAAAATAATTTCTTTTCATACTGTACAGTTAGGTAAAACGATGCCTTCCCTCGGAAATGGGAAGTTTAACGACGAAATCGGATTTCAATCGCTACGTCACGATCCCCGATTTTTCTTCCAGTTAGAAAATAAAAATCTGCTGTTTTATGAGGATTACGCGTGTACATTGAATGTTAGTTTTAGAAGATTGAGAGAAATAGTGAGCTTTCGGCCCGTTCGCACAGGTGTATTGCTTTCGACATCCTAATCAACGGGGCTCTGTTGCATTCAGCCAACCTGGTCCGTTTCTAAAAAGAAGAATAAAAAAGAACGATAATCCTTCAGATACCATATGGAAGAAGCGTTCTGATTTTTCTGTCCATTCATAAATAATTTCCGGTCCGTTCAAGCGCTCGAACGCTCTCGAATCCATTGCGATAAACGCGAGTAATCTGAAAGATTAAGCGTCTGAATACGTCGATCTACCTCATCAAGACTCCCAAATTATTTATGAATGGCGTCATACTTCCAAGCGTTTAAATCTCGTTAGCGTGTCCTTTTTATTATTTTTTCACTTCTCGGTAATCACCTGTAACTTCGCGGTTCCGTACAATTTGGGAGCAGACTTCATGAGGTTCGCATCGATTCGCAGCGTTTCGGAAACGACCAGGTCATTGTCTAACGAGATTTAACTGCAATCTTTATGAATCATGCGTGAATTAATTAATGCGAAGAACTTAGGCCTGAGAGAAGGAAAACTTCCAAGACTATGGCGTTAATAGAGTACCTCCCTAAATGAAGAGATTTCAATTTTTCCAGTGGTCTCGATCTCGTCACTTAGAGAGCTATTATATATCGGATAACGTAACGTTTTCGATAAATATGATCAACGATTCGTCTCTCTCATTTTGGACCCGTGTAGACCGTGCGCGAAGAAATTCGAACGTGTAATCACCCCAAGGGGCGTTTTGCATAAAGTATTCAAAAGTCAACGACAAATATTTTGCAAAGTATCCTTTTTTTTTTGGTCCGTGTTACGTAATTGATTCTTGTTTGCGTTCTCATCGAATACATATTGTTTTTTCTTTTTTCCTATTTTTTTTTATACCATATCCGATGGAACGCCACGCGAGTTCACCGTGGTTCAATTAAGAATTAGATAAAACTTCTCTGTACAAATATCGTGTAATAAAATCTTGATTAGTCTGTAACTGTGCATTAGATGTATCTTGATGTAACGAAGAAGGTCGTTGTAAACGAGATCGCCCTGCGACATTTGTAGGCCAACTTTTGTTCTTTGAATTTTTGATACGTATCACTGTACCGCGCACGTGAATTCCTTTTCATCGAGAACGTTGTTTCCTTTCTTACTAAATCACACCATTTAACTTGCACGATCTTTTCTACGCATACGCACACGTATTACTTCGACGGTATACACGTATATATTCAACATCGATACGTTTAGACACCGAATACATAAACACAGAGAACGCCGTTTCCGGTAAAGGAGAAGCGTGTCGTACGATCTACGTAACTTAAAAATCAAAATCCCTCGAATTATCGAAATTTCGATGCATTCTAGCCGAATCATATTCCGTGTGATAATACACAAATAGAAGATTGCTAAGGAAATTCTATAAAGCTTTAGAAATATGCTACTGTTAGAAAAGAATTGGTATAGTTATTAGGTCCCATATTCTTAAAACATTGAAGGGATCAATGAGCGTGGGATCTACAAGTACGATCCTGAGAATTCAAAGTCAGAAGCAGAAGCTCGAGATGATTGTGTATAAACAGAAATACCCCCACCGATTGCGCTGTCCGAAGTTCCTTCCCCCGTAACGAAATCAGCGACAATCAGCGAGTCCTTCGGCACGTTTCCTGTGTCACCTTTCAATGCGTCTCGTTTGGCCAGCATCTGTTTCAATACCTTGATCTTTTCTTCCTTCTAGATAAAAATAAAAGAAAGAGTGTACGAAATTCTGCGAAAATTGATTCTGACTCGCGCAAGCTTCCCCTGAAATATAAAGAATCCTAATTCTTACCGCAGCGATGAGTTTCTGAAGTTCATCGTTCTCACGGAGAAGCTTCTGATACCTTTCCTCGTCCTCCTTCGACATACCTACATCCGGATTGTACTTAGATTCAGCCTTGTCCTTAGGGTGCCTAATTACTTCGATCACTTTCGGTACGAAAATCAGGGCCATGCTCAAGAAACAGCAGAAGATGATAGCGAGAGCGACGAAAGCAAAGCTGGCGTCCTGCTGACTTGCGATCACCATCGTCACGGGAGCTGTGATCAAACAGAGGACAACCACGTTGTATATCGACATCCCTACGTATCTGGAATCGTTGATCTGTTTCACTTTGATGCTCCTCGTCTCGTAAGCCAGAAACAGTCCAAACACCAGTATCACCCCTTTGTAACTGTACATCAAACCTGAAACATTAAGATGTACCTTTTACGAGTCGTCGATTAAGAACCATTTATTTTTCTCTGATTTTTTCACGTACCCAACCAAATGTTATTGTGTGCGCTTTCGCAGTGTTCCAACTCTGGTCTAATTCTCGCATCATCGTCGCCATACGGCGGCGATTCCAACGGAAACGTTTCCATCTTCCTTTGCAATGGATCGAGCACCTGCCAGGAAACCAATAGCACGATATCCAATACCAGCAGTCCGCTCACCATCGTGTACAGCTTCCACGGTTGAATCTTCTTCTGTATGGACGAAACTTTTTGTTTAGCCATGAACAACTAAAAAGAATCGAGAACAGGTTAAAGATGAGGATCATACGAGCAGGAACTGCGAACCATGCAAGGGGCGGTGCAGACTGCCGTGGTTAACTAGAAAAATCGATCGGACAGTTGTTAATCGATTGCACGGGATTATCGGTGCGTATATTTCAGTTACTTCGATTATTGCAATTATTTCAAGCTGAAGCACACCTGCTGATTCTCCTCGGCACATACCTTCGCCTGATCGGCTTTCGTTTTAGTCGTTAGCCTGTGAACCCGCCACACTTTGCTAAACATCGCGCCAAACGCTAAAGTGAAACCAGTCGTCAGCATCCAAGATCTGGCTTGACAAACAGCCGGATACTCCCACGGTGACACAAATCTACCGTCGATACCCAGAAGAAATACCGATACGAAACACGCTATCACTCCCAGCAGCATTATAGTGTTGCACACAGGATGAGACGACGTAATCACTCTGAAAGGTAGACGATCATCCTGAAGGTTTGAAAAGGAACGAGGAGGTAGAAACAGAGAAACGTACCTTCTGTGTCTATTCCAAATGTTAAAAATAATTAGGCCAACCGCTATTACCATCCCTACAGACGAAATGGTACCCATGCAAATGAACAAAGGTAACGAGACGGTTCTTAGGACAGTCCTTACAATGGTTCTATCTTGCGGTACTTTGCCACCGATCCATCGTTCCATGTTCCTCCAAGTAAGATTGTCGCTTTGCGTATCGTAATATCCTAACTTAACGTACTTTCCATCGATCACTTGCTCGATTTGGGTCAATGCGATTCTGTCACCTTGCGAGCTGAACGCAACGTATCCCTATAGCATATAAGATCGATTAAAGATCACGTAACGCTTTTTTTTAAATGTATTTTTACTGCGACCAAGATTCACGTACAGATACTCCTAGAAACTGAGTGGAATTAATAGCAGAATAAATTTCGTCGGCTATCTCCTTGTTCTCGTAGGTGAAGTTCTTCAAGCTCTTTCCCTGCTTGGTCAGCTTCTCCATCGTTTTATTGAAAGCTGCGATTAAAAACAGAAGATAAAGAACCCTAATGCCACTTAGAACCCAAGAACTCAGAATAGTGAACCCAAATTCGCACCTAATGCCACAGACCAAACCGCGTCGTAAGCCAGAGGGGCCTCCTGATATCCTTCCGGATACCGATTGTTATCGATATCATAACCGTCCTCCTTTAACATTTTATTTAATCTCTGTCTAAAATCTTCGGACGTCATTCCGCTAATTGTCGTGTCGTTATTTTGGTTCCACATTAACGCCTCCGTTGTTAAATGTCCCTCGGCCGCGAGCCTCATTTGATCCTTCGTACAAGTAATTCCCTCCTTGTCCAAGTTCACTTCGAACCAGTTGTCCTCGTACCAGCCGATGAAGAACCACACGTAACTTTTACCGTAAAGATTTTGATGATACAACTCGCAGAGGACCCTCCTCGCTGCTACCACGTAGAATAGACCGACGATGATCCTGGCGTCTTGGCGACGAAGGTTCCTCACCGCGTCCGATGGGTCCGAGAGAAAACTCTGACGGGTGACTATTTCTATTCCTGCCTCCTTGCAACGGGCTTCTAAATCTTCTACAGTCTGCCAACAGACGAGACGTTATTTATTCTCCGATGTTGATAATGTAAGAATCCGTGGATGGGTTTAATCTTACAGATATGAACACTTCTTCGGCTTGCTGCAAAATCGCCACTCGAGACCAACCGAATTTTTGTAACAATTTGATTCTCGTTGGATTGTGCACCGTGGCTGACGGATGAGTTCTAAACAGTGTAGGGAATCTATTTCGATCGGACAAGGCTGGTGATGACGCACCGTAACACAACTAAAAACGTTAATAATTCTGTTTCGTTTATTCTTAAAATTTGAAGGAACAATTTGATGACACTCACCACTACCAAGTGCCACATCTTCGCCGCCTCGGCAACGGTCGTACAAACGGTGCTACATCCTGCTAAAAGCATTAATTTATGGGGGTTGTTGTACAGCAAATTGTACATAACCGAGGCACCGAGTCCTGGCTCGCACTGAAACAAGGATCATTCGCCTTAAAAAAGAATCGTTACTCTGGAAATTTTATAAATCCCTCGACGTACCTCACTGTCATTCGAGTGGAGTTTCAATATGAATCCTGGTAGTAGATTCTTTTCACGATTAACGTCATCCAGGGCCAGGTTTACGGCTGGCATGCAAGCCTGGAGGAAATATTTTTCACCTGTTTTATCTCTTTTCGGAACAGACGAAATTCTTTATCGGTGGAAAATAGAAATCAACATTGATCTCAACCTACCTGTTAATACTTTGGAAACGATCGCTACTCACCTGGCCACCCTGCCACCCACCCTCTCCTGCTATCGGGAAAATACCACCGATATGCAACACATTGTCGGCGTCGTCCGAAGTTGACGAACCCTCGATCACGTTCGTCAACGTTAAAACTATCAGAAGCATCAACATCGCGTAGCACGTGAAATTCTTCCGTTCTATCTATATAAACAGCCCTTAGCTCTTCCCACGTTTCCTTTCCCCTACGACACACCCCAACAGCACGACGATAAAAATCGTACTTTGTTCGCGTGAATCACAGCCATCGTTGATCACTGATCGCCTTGAACCGAGAATCACTAATTCATGAAGCTTTCACCCCTCGGAGACTTGGGGTTTAACCGAAAGAAGAGCCGTGTACTCGAAGGGATGTTCCCGTTGTCTCCTACGGCGAAACACGACGATCGTAACATTCAAGACCGTGTTCTAACGTTCTCCATCGTTCACCGGGTTCCGACGCTCCTCCTTGCGCGACACCCCGTCAAATTTTCCCAACGAATAGATTTACCGAAGACGGAACGTTCGCGCGAGCTTTCTATTGATCTCATCCCGGCTTTCCAAGGATCGTAGTGGGGATGGGGCGACTCTGTCCTATGCTTTCACCGAAAATCGATATACATATATATATGTACAAATATTTTATCTTGCAGCTAGACCCGCTGATTTTTTAAACATCAGATTTCATTTTTATCGATGATTTTAAAAGAACCGATCGATCGCATCTTGCTCGAACGATTAAAAGCAAATTCGGACTAATTGGTACGATCGGTAATGTCGCACGGTTGATGGCGCTGTTATGTTTCTGTCATATTTATCAGAGGGTGGTTTGGATCGTTGTTTTCGTGAGGAACTAAACAAGAATTGTATGGGAAAATAATTTAATTTTATATAATGGCGGCACAACGAGCCCTCCCGCAAAGCAAAGAAGCTTTATTGAAGTCGTACACGACGAGATTAAAGGACGATGTGAAGTCAATGCTGGAAAATTTTGAAGGTTCGTTTCCTAACCTCGCATTTTGCTCTACCTATCATGATAGAAAACTCAATGTTTTATAAAGAAATCCTAAATAATATCGTGAAATTTAATCGTGCCATTTGATAAATTTCTATGTCGAATTAAAGCGATTGATGTCTTTGTACAGATTGACAATTCACGAAATCTAACCTATAACTGTTCTAAGGAATAACAACAAGCCGGTTTGTTATTTTTTTCCTTTTTCAGAAATAATAAAATTAGCCAAAGGAGAAAGTGATTCACAATTATCTCGGATGACACAATGCGAACAGGATACGTACGAAATGCACGTTAGAGCAGCTAATATTGTACGTGCCGGAGAATCTTTAATGAAGCTCGTCTCAGACATAAAACAGTACCTGATACTCAACGATTTCCCGTCGGTAAACGAAGCCATAGCACAAAATAGCAAATTATTTAGGACAAAACAAGCGGAATGCGATCAAAAATTAGCTTCGTTAAGGGACGATATGGCCGCAGATTTATACGACCTCGAAGAAGAATATTACACGTCGATATACAAATAACATAGGCCTTAGTTTTGCGAAGATGTGCAATTGTGTACTCGTCGTTTGGACCATACCTCGATTACAAAAAAAAAAACAAAAAAGACGAAGAAACTCCGTGATTTATTTGTTCAATAAAGTGTATATATTTATTTAAATAAATAAGAATAGTTTTGATAGTACATTCCTACTTCATAATTGGGAGCCTGACAAAGACGCGCGAGAAGATGAACTTAACGACAATCGTTCAGGCGTAATTGTTTCACTTTTATTACTTGAATACTTTTATATAACACACAGACGATACATCACACGATACTTCTAATTGGTAAGTATACTCAGTAAGGTAATGTAGATTCAAGCTTTAGATAATAATAACAATAATAAGAATTAATGAGAATAATAATAATCATAAGAATTAAGAGTAATAAGAATAATCTTATAATAATACTATTTCCTCTTTATCCTTCTTTAACTTGAATGACGATGCCTTTTTCATACTGTACAGCGATAATTTACAGAAATAATACGGAGTTCCCTTCGACCGGAGCAGACCGAGATTACATCGACGCTTGAACGATCGACCTCTTGTCTGGATAACAAAATTAAACACGCGTAATTAATCAGAATTTTTGGAATGTTCCATTCTCGTAATCTCGTTTACTTCACGTAATCTTGTTGATACGACAAACTGAGCTTCCGTCGACACGGTACTGTTCCAATTGGGAAGCAGCGATTTATACGATACAGGAGGAAAAGTAACAAAAAACGAAAAATATCACAGTGTAAAATGCAACGCTGTGACACAGACCCATCAAGTATCGATCGAACGTGTAACTAAATGGAAAGAAGAACAATAGCATCTAAATGTATTATATGTACGATCATCATAGGAGTTGGAACACAATGGTCGGTTCAGCGTATAAATGCATTTTCGTTAATTACTATTATCATCATCATTGTATCGCACGTTTTATCCTTGAGTCAGTCCGCGTTCACGCGATTATAAATCTTAATCAAAGGCTAACCACACTGCCACAATCATACTTTCTTTCAACACCTACACGATTCAACGTAAAAACATTTCGAATTTTCAAGGCGACAACGAAAAAAAAGGGAACACAAGAAAAGTACGCAAAGATCGGTCTCGAAGTAAAATTGAATTTCTAATATTTCGAACGAACACAAACTCCGGGGAACTTCGAGACCGAAAAATAATTTAGTATGTACAAAATTCAATTCTCTTAAAATTAAAATTCAGCTCGTTAACGAATTTCATTTACCATTTATAGTAATCGAAATAATTGATACCTGTAAGGTGCTTCTTTTCTTTTCTTTTTGGTCCTCGTTCAAATATAAGAAAGGAAGAAGCTACACGAAAGAAAATCGTATCGTATCTATATCAATATGTGAACGACTCTTGAGCATATTTGTATAAATAATGAATTTTTCTGAATGTACAATTCTTTTTTTATCGCTTCTTGAACTGACGGTTCTTGGCTTATTGTACACGTACATTAAAGTGTATCAAGTAGACTTACACTCTACTTTGGCAAAAAACTTGTATAATTCTAGATTCGAATGTTCTCATTCTATTTTCCTTTTCTCTTTTTTTTTTACCTTAAAAAATTTTGCATTAAAGTTTCCTGGTCTTTGACTGGCAGCTCGAACGTTTAACGGCTTATAATAGCTGATAAAGTAATCTCAAAAAGGTTTACAAAAATCTTCAGTTCCATCGTCGACTTCTCTCCGTTTGTTATAAAATGTGCCAAAAAGGTGATATGCTATTTTTTTCTTTTCCTTATTCATCAATCAACGAGCTCTCCGTTTCAAAGTGCTATCAAAAAAGGAAGAAAAGCACTGGTGGCTACTGTTGGCAGTTTCAGTTACTTGTTATTAGGAAAATCTCTTCGCTTCTTTCTCTGTTTTTTAGTTATAGTTAATACAAAGTAAATGCATATACTTGGAATGATACTGTGTTTCATCTCTTCGCTTAACTACCTAAGGAGACGTATTTTCTTGCTTATTTCCCGACGCGTTCACGAACGATATTCTCTCTCGCTTTCTTTTTTTCTTTTTTTTGATTTTTATCGTAGTAGAAATAATCTCGCACGAGAATGAACTACAAATATAAAAACGATCGTGAACGCGCCGCGTGATGCATTTCTGAGAGAAAAACATTTTGCAGTTGCTTATTCATAGACGACAGCGATCATCGCTCGAAGAAACTTCTGTTCTTTTCATCGCTTCCTTCCGAAGGTTTATCTAACATCTTTTTCGCGTTTACGCAAAATAAAAACTGAAAGAAAAATACTTTGTAATTAGTCTTTTGAGTAGTCGGAACTTGGAATTCCTAGCTCTCCTCGGGGGAGAACCTTTGAGCTTTCGAGCTTCTATCAGCTCTTCGCGTTTTTATGTTTTTACGCTTCCTTTCCTCGTTTTCTTTCGATTTCTTCCGATCTGAATTTCATCAATAGAGAAGATCGCCGGTCGTTTCGGAGCCCCAGGCGCCAGCATCCTGAGCCGGTTTCAGGTAGTCGACATCGGTCTCGTTTTCTGCTTGATCGGTCGTCGGAGTAGAGGTCTGGGTCGATAGAGGAGTCGAGGAGACCGCTCTGCTCGTCACACCCAACTCGAATCCTTCCGATGTCAGATCCACTTTGCTGGGAGTGTAACTGGCTAGGCCACCACCACCACCTGCAGGGAACAAGCACTAGCTTTCAGCACGCTACGGGCTCTACGAGGATCAAAGGTAATCTTTCTGACAGAGGCAAAATGCTGTTGAACAAACTAATATCTTTCAATCAAGCGTTTCTAAGATCAGCATAATTAATCTATACTAGGGATTCTTTCAGAGGATCGACATTAATAAAGTACTGCAGCTGATTGTAGCTGTTCATAGAGGATACAAGGTGATGAGTCATCGTCGCCTCTGCAAAAGACCGAAAACATTGGGGCACATTTATTTCAATGAAGAAGATGAAAACGACTAGTCTGACAGAGGAAAAATAAACGATACGCGGTACGATGGTAAATGGAATTGAACGATTAATATTACCGAGAAGGGTCGGCAAGCTGGTGGTCGAATTGCTCGAGGACGTTTTATTGGTGATCGGTGGTGATTGCTCGTCGGAACCGGAAGTGTCGCCATCAACGCTGCTCTCACCCTCCAGCATCGATGCCTCGCTCGGATATTCAAAGGTACGGGTCGCTGTGTCGTCGAACTGTATTCGATGCTGAAACAATTAGTAATACAATTAGTCTTTTTTAATGGTATTTGCAAGAGACGAGCACGAAGAAGGAAAACGGTTCCGCAAGACGGAAAAAGGCACGCGGTTCGTCTTTTCTGGCGTGTATCGCGCAATAACGCGTAGTCGGCTACGGATAAGACACGGGAAGAGCAAACAACAGCAACGGCATGCAGCTTGGAATAACAGTAACCCGTCACACTCGGTGCTTTTTCGACTATGAGCGAGGACATCGCCTCCTCGTTCGCTCCTTCTCGACGAGCACGATCAAAAGAGAAAGCAATTCTTCCAGAGTCTAGAGAACCGCTCGACGAGTCTCCGTTTGCTCGGACAATATTTTCCATCTACGACCCGTAACTTGTACCAACGAAGACATGAAACTATGTATCTTAATTTAGGAAGACTAAAGACGGAGTTTAGATTTTGATAATACAAGCGGAAATGGCACAGCGAATAAACGAAGCGTTGGTCAAAGGCAAATATCAAAATGGAAAGTTCACCTCGCGAGGAAAATCGTGTTTAAAGCGCGCCAACGAGTGTCAAATCGTCCCCCGAAGCCGGATGCATGGAAAGCATCGAGGCCTACGCCGATTGGTCGACGGTATATTGATTTTCATGAAGAAACTGGCGAACCGAACTACCCTCAAAAGAGAGTAAACCTTTTGTGTCGCGCGCCTGCTTTCTCAACCATAAAATCAACCTCGGAACGCGGAGCCAGCGGGTTTCCGCCTCGAGTTCGCGCGTGCTCATCGATCAAGCTTTACGAGCAAAACTTTGCTGAAAGAGAGGTAAATGCTCGGGGCTTCTGAACGCGCTCGTAAAAAGTACCATTTTTTTTCTTAGCCTATTGCTTGTTTTGACGTTAATTGCTGCTCTTTTTAGAGGCGCCTGTTTATGCGGTCATCAATTTCATCGATTATCCGGCGATCAATTTGGAGAGAATCCGAATAACGACGTCGTTTCGTTCTGCTTTGCTTCTTTACCAATGACGATCGACGAGAAAACGTTCGGCGCTTTTTTGCCGCAGCCTTTGGCTCCGTTTCTCTTCGAATTCGACTATTTTGACTATCGGATCGGTAGAATTTCTTGTTAGGATACTTAACGAACTACGTCGTTGGCTTTCGAGCAGAAGCGCGCGAAACAATGCGTTCCTTATCGATCGCGAGGAAGGAAACAGTTTATCGTTGCGGACAATAGAAAGAGGAAACTAAAACAGGCTTTTATGTACAGTATTACGCGTTATATTTTGCGTCCTACATGCGCCGGCTCGTGACGCGACGCGTTTTGAAGAATGCGGTCACGTCGCGCGTTTCCTTCCGAAACTCCGTTGGCGAAAATTTAACAGAAATTTTTCAACGACATCCACCGAGGGAATTTCACAATGACGCGAGCTTTGTACCCGTGTAGAATCGTTCTTCAACACCGTTCGTAAACACACTAGAAGTTTAGTATCGTCTTCTCGTGGAAAGGTGCTTCAGCTGCATCGTCATCGAGTAAGGTCGTTCGACGCGTATGCAAATGAAGGAATAACGTCAACACTCCTGGTCGAGGGCAATTTGTCGCATCGTGTAGGGGTAACGGTATTTCAAAGAGACGAACAGCCTCGCGATCTATGAAAAATTTCCTTTAATTACTCGGTCACGGATGTGCCGTAAGATCATAGGGATAGGTCATCTCGATGCGATCGCTTCCTCGTTCCTCGATCCATCGATCGAGACTGCTTATATTCGCTACATCCTATTTGCATATCCTGTTCCTCGAAACTGAAAGTCTCGCTTCTGCTTTCATTTTTCTTTCTTTTTTCTTTTTAATTCTGAACATTTGAGGTGAAGGTTTTTTGAAATTTCTGCGGATTCTCCTTATAGTATGGTATAGTGCAGTATTATTAACGGTACGCAAACGTAATTACAACGCAGAGTTTTCCGTAACGAAACGAGATTAGAAATTCAAATAAATTTATCAGGCTTAAGCGAGGCAGAAAAAATATCTTTCTTGCTGCTTGGAGAAGTCAGAATTGACTTTGGTGTATTTTTCGCTATGCCGACCGTGCCGAAACGGTGCAACCGTATCACAATCAACACCGGGAATTACCGAGACGGCCAATTTTCTCGGGAAAGGAACGGTCTTGCAATTGTTGCGAGAGACAACGGCCACCAGCGTTGCGCAAAACTATGGCAAAAACCTCTGCATTGTGCGAGACAGCTGTTATTTTTAACAAGGAATCTGCAACACAAATATCGTCGTTAAGTTAGCAGCTTGGACCGAATGCAAAGTCGTGAAGGTATCTCGTAAAATTGATGTTCGTGTCGCGAAACCATATGTTTTCGAACGGTAGAACGGTATATCCGCAAGAAACAACGAACCTATCGGTCGCTTTTCAATGCTATATTTTAATTTTATGAAACCCGAAGGAATTCTAACGGTGAAAAATTGCCAGTTCGAGATGATACGTTGCAAAACGCGTCTGCATCCTAAGCTGGAAAAGCAAGTAAAAATTGCTCAACGGTTAGTTGCTCAATTACGCTTAATACGTTCGAGGTTTCTTTCTTACGCCTCGTCATTTTAGCAGCACCGTTTTTCTGCTAATTTAAAAACCATCAGGTTTCTCCGCCGGACCCTGCGTTTCCCAATAATAATATCGTTAATATACAGTATTCAGTATATCCTTCGTATCTTTGGAAATTACCAACATTTTTTTCTGTTATATCAGTTGATCGTTCGTTTCTACACGATTTTCTTAATATCCACGAGAAACGTTTCTTAAATCTTACAAAAACATTGCCGAATAAAAAATATTATTCAGATGATAAGGGGTCGCTTATCAAAGTCATCGTCGTAAAATTGTTGCGAATTAATCAACCGAGGTGCATACGTGGAACCAGTAAACGTTCTTTCGAATCAATGAAATAATAGCGAATAATTACGCGGAATTCTAGGAAGTTATCGAACGATAACGAAGCTTCACGATGCTTATTGCATAACTGGCACGCGCGAAACAGGAACGATTATATATTTTTTTAAATACAACCGTGTAAATTGTGAGGGGTATTCGTAATCGAACGCTATTATTCGCTGAATCGATGGAAACTTGAATTTGTTGACAATCGTCAGCGATTCTCACCTGCTGTCCTTGGTTGCAAATAGGCCGCGAATTCGAAATTTCTGTTTATACAATCCTCCCCACCTCCTTTCCCTCTTTATCGAGAACCGTTATCGTTTCGAATACAATTCGAATGATCGATTTTATCGCGTTCCGTGAATTCGTGTCTCCTAAACCCTTAAATAGGTATAATTATTCGATGACTAGAGAAAAAGACTGAAATTCTACAGAAAGTGTTAAATCAAGCGTCGAGAGTGGTAGAACGACTCGTCGATAGCACGGAACAACGACCGCGTTTTCTACTCAAGAATTATTCGAGGATAATTCGAATTCCGTGTCTCGTAATAGACACTGTCCCTGTCCGGCACTCGTATCGAAACGATACGCTTGACCGGACAATCGAATAAATCCGAAGACAATACGACGGCGGCTCATCGACGGAACAATCGATTCAAGAGATATCGATTTTTCCTCCTTGGAAGATCGATCGATGGACAATGAGCGTGACGAAGCGAGCCCCCAACTTGTGCCAGCCGGCTTTAAACATGGAAATATTCCGAACCGCGTTTTCTCTACGAAACGCTACCGTCCCGAGGAACTTTCGAATATGCAAATTCCCTCCTTTTACCGGTTTCCATTTTTTTCATATCGCTTCTTACGTAACGTTATTAAAAGAGATCTTACAAGGCGGGCTAATTGAAGACCGGAATGAAAAGAAACAACGAGGTTGGCTTGCGGTTCGAATTATTCGATATCTATGTTTGCAACGATTACGTTCGATTGGTCATGAAACACCTCGATCACGGCCACTACCGATTTAACAAGAATATTTATCAATCTTATCGTTACGAGTATTCGAAAGATAATAGCTGAAACGTTGAAACGCATCTGGAACCCGGTGAAAATGGTTCCTTGAATATCGTCCGTTTAGGGAGAAGCGTGCGGAACGGAATGGTACGTTTTACCGCGTTCCCATGAGCCACGCTAGATTAACTCCTTTGACGAGCTGCTCGAAAATCGTTCCCGGTTCGTGCATCCACTACTTTTACTTTACAAATCGACGTTGCAAACCACTCAGATTTACCAGTTCTTCGTTACGCCAGTACCGCTCCTAAACTCGTGAGAAAATCATTCCTCGATACGTTTTCGGATCTGTTTCATCAATTAAGTAAAATTAATTAAACAACCGTAGATCTTTGATACAGTTCCGAGAACAATCGCTTTTCTAATACCGCCTCGCTCGCGAGAAAAGTTGAACCATGAAAATTAATGAGCTGTCTGCGCATTGTTATAGCACATTAATTATTTAGAACGATTATGTATATACGGCGTGTCATAAAAGACTTCTATATCTATATTCCGAAAGCCACTGTATCTTTACGTGTTGACACTAGCAATGACGGTATAAAGACGGAGCGTTTAGCGTTAATTGTATAGAATCAAAGATGATTTGCTCGACTACATAGCCGACAAACGAATGTACACACAGATAACTTATCGCGGTGACAAATGGTAGTTAGGTGGATCGTGCAACTTGCGTTGTGACGTTACTAATTTCTGTACAGTTTCTTCCTGATTCGAACAAGATTTCCTTTTATGGAGGAAGGAAAACCGCGGCGAAAATTGAATGTCACAAGGGTAACGTCGTCGTAAAACGTTCTTTTTCACGAAAGGATAAAAAGTCCAACGAAAATTCCGGAGTCGAGGCGAAGGAAGAGGGAAAATGCCTGAAAGGAGGCACGGTTGTTCGCCCTTGAATATTTAACAATCTCTTTCCACGGGGGAAAGCGTATTCCCACGTTGTGCCAAGGGCTCTTACAATTACTTGTTGTACACCGTGTATTACGTTGCTTGCTTTTCAACTTAAACGAGCTCCCGCCGGTGCAGCGCGTCGCGATGGGACTGCAACTGATTAGATTAGATAGCGTTGGCTTAGAGCCGACTATCGAAAAGCTCGTTTGTCAAAGGAGTAAAAAATCAACGGGATGTTTTCGATAAAACCGACGCTTATTAACGTCAGTGATTCGAGCTGATAACGTTTCCCCAAGATCTCATGGATTTCACGAGTTCGCTGCTTTATTATGCGTTGCATAACGCACGATTCGTTTTCCCCGCTGGTTCGAGAGGGAAATGCGAGGGAAACTTATTCTCGAGTTCTCACGACCAGCAACGATTACCTGCCTGTTTTGGAGCAACGAGAGGCGAAGGATTTTATAGAGATTTTCTCTTCGGCATTACTACTTTTGGTCAGATTCGTTGCACGGTATGCGTTTAGTTCTCGCTTACTTTGTGATTTCGTGGTGTCCTCGACAAGTTGCTGCGTCCATTGATGAGCACGTTGTCGTTAAAGAACGACACGTCGCAAGGCGAGGGTGGGCCACCTGTAAGCTCCCATTCAGCGTCGTCGGTCGTCGACGCGTCCAATGTGGCGTCCAACACTATGATGCCGCCATCGCCAACCTGTGTGAAACAGAAACAATTAAGAAATTAAACTTCCAAGATAGAAACGAGTCCAGCGGAATAATTTGCTTATCTTTCTGAATAACTATGTTCTGCCTAATTTATTGCTGTTATACCAGATTTCTGTATACCGCTTGCAGCAAGTATTATCTTATAGGCACGAAGGTTTTTGTTTGAAAATTATTTTTCTTAAATTTTCTATCAAAATGGTTGATCCCGTTTATTAACAAATAAATAAATAAACACAACGCGTCGATGTTTTCAAATAAAAATTCGAGTACAGTTTAGAAAGTACAGTTCACACATGAATATCGATAATCATAAAAAGATACGAAGATTATCGACGACTTATCGAACGAAGAATCTAAAGGTTCAAGAACGATTCGAGATAAGCAGCGTGTTACTTTCTCGAGACGTTTCCTTCTGAATACAAAATAATAAGCAGGCCAAAGGACGCGTGTCCCCCTCAGAGTATTCATCGACATCCGTCGCCTTTCAATTATTTCGTGAATGAACATCCTGTCTGTCGATTTGGAAAGCGCGTCGAATGAAAAGCTACGCGTACGCATCTCGTTGACACGCGCTGCGATGTTCTTGGAATTCGAATAATTTCCTGACCAACCTGTGTATCTTTCTCTATCCGTGTCTCGAGCAAGATGAATATCTCAAAGTCGGACGATCGCTCGATTTCCAGTCCACTTCCGGCGTCGAGCCGAGGTTTTCGAGAAAGCGTTTCAAAAATCATGCGCGACAATGATTTCCTTCGGCGACCACTGAGAATTCGGGTTGAACGGTGATCGAAGAAAAAAATGCGGTCACGGATCATAACGCGAAGCCGCATTACGGACGAGCAGAGATCGGGGCCGCGTAACGCAATATATCTGGATTTGAATATAACGTGCCAGGGATGCACTGGAACGAGAAGATATCGATCGCTGGTCGTACGATGTTATCGATCATCGGATTATCGAATCACCGGAAGACGCTAAGAAGCGTTCTTTCACAATGATTCTCTGCTTTTCAATATTTTTCCATCGGGATCCATGGATGCGAATCAAAAATATCGATGATCGAGAACGTTGTAAAGATAATTCGCTTCTGCGTTATCAATCGTCAGATAAGGAACGAGTTACGTTTATAAAAAGAAATATTGGGAAACCGTTTTCTTGCAAACGCCGCGCATCGTTTCGATTCGAAGGAAACGGCTAAAGGATAAGAACGGCAATGAACCTAAGGGCGAGGTGCTTGACTTCATGAGAAATTCCCAGGACTTTTCTTTCCATTATTCCGAGCACCACTAGGGTATCGCTCGTAGACCTTGAACCTTCGAGGAGTCCACGACGAGACGCAACGCGACGATCCCCTAATGATCGCACGCGAATCTATCTGCGAGAGACCGTGGAGAACGACATTGAAAACTTGGAAAACTACAATGTTCTATCATTTTTATCGACAGGTGTATGTCGTGATAAGAGATGACACGTGTGGCTGGCTGCACGTGTCGCGAACCTTCGTGATTTAACGTCGTTGATTACAGTAAGTACGTCTAACGAGACGAATCGGTAAATGTATACAAATTCACGTGTTCGACAAACGTCGACCGAATAATTTGAAGAACTGGAAGAATCTGTGCTCCAGCGTCGAGCACGTGTATTTGTAAATATTCCCTGGCTCGTCTCGTTGGACGGATTATAAATGAAACCGGAATTTCACGAATGTCACCAAAAGTCATCTCTTTTCATCCCCTTTCAACGAAATTCCCTTTGTAGCTGTAACCTCGAACGTCCGCGATAGTAGACTTGTAAAGGAACTTTCTCCTCTTTGTTCTACCCTTTTCTCTTCGGACTATCAGTTCGACTCGTGGGACGCGAACAACGAAATTATGCAAGAAACCACGCCCCTGCTTGTTCGCCGTCTATTCGCGAACCCCTGACAAATTTATTTGTCGCCGCGTCGCGACGCGTCGTTAACGCCACCGCGTTTAGTCAGCATTGCCACTAAATCGTATGAATCAGTTCTTGCTCACACGTTTCGTGTGATACGAGTCAGAACCCGTCGTTTCCATAGTCTCCTTTTCCTAAATTAGATTCACGGTGTATCATCAAGATGCAGTTTAATTCAAAAAATATAACAGAATATCCTTTTTCCACTATTCTAAGCATATGTACAACTTAACGCGATGATAATTAATTACCGGTAATTTAGTTTATCTCTAATTACTTTAACAAACGTGTTATCAGTCTCGTTGCCACGCGCCAGTGCAACGCGCTTATCTCACTGAATTAATAGAACGATAAAAAGTGTTGAAACTATTCGAACGGTGAATTGAAAAGTTCGAGTGAAACGCGTTCTTATCCAAAACTGGATTTACGTTGCGTAAGTAGAGAAAGAGGATGCAAAGTAACTGACGAGCTCTGCATGCAAATGCAAATTCGACCTACGACCAGCTGTTCGTCTTCGAAATCGAGTTTTCTCGTTGCTGCCGAACTGGTCAAGGTCAAACGAGGTCGGACACTTTGAAAAAATCCTTTAGAGTTGCAGAAGAACGGACTCGGAAAGAACAGAGGCTCGCAGAAGCTTGCCAACTTCTCGCCGACCGTTCGTTTAACCCGTCCACACTCGCGTTCACGAGGGGAATGAAAAATTGCGAAGAGGCGCTCGCTAGACCTTGCCTTCGGCTTTATTTACCAAACGAGCAATTATGCGAGCCCGCAAAAGTGCCGTAGGAATGAACGCTCGGTAAATCGACTCGATCCTCCGCTTTGAATTCGTCCAAGTCATCGGACAGCCGATAAATTTCTTCGATCCTGCGGAATGCCTGAACTTGGTACGCGACTCCATCGCGGCTTATTTACTGCCGCGTCGCGCTGATAAAAACGTAAACGGTAATGGGGTTAAGGAATGCACCGGTCGGCCGACTCGAGTCGTGCCTCGAACAACCGACAAAAGTTCATTAACGCTGAATCGTTCGTTTCGATCTTGATCGCGGTTAAAACTTGCGGATGCGGCTTTGCCAACTCACGCGACTTCTTCCTGTATGGATTCAAACGTATTTCATTCGAAAATTCGGATTCTAGAATAGGAAATAATCGGCGCGAGATTAGAAGAAGCTATTGTCGCGTTTGGCCTACATACCAAAAAGTGTAGCGGTCGATTCAGTTGCGACACGATCGTCGGAGCGGAGTGCTCCATAGAAGGTACGATAACGGGCCACGACAGCTTTTATCATGGTGTGCGTTGCATTGCGTCGCTCTAGGAGAGCCATATACGAGAATTCCCATAGCGTCTTACGGAATGTCACCGCAGTCACGGTACCCGGGCGACTGCCATTTCTAAGCTATCCAACTTCTACCTTGCAATTCCTCGAATAAACCGCGACGCGACCTGCCGAGATCGCGAGGTCAATCGAGAGAAACTGTGAATTCGATTCCCTCCATCGTGGAAAGGAACATCTCCATCGTGTCCAGATAAAGATAACCGTGCATGCGATTCGATTGAAACGCCTCGAATCGTTCGGCGTAATATCCACCGTCCAGAAGATAGAAAATTATCGACCCAGACGAGAAGATAAGGTGTCCAGGTGTTTACAAGCGTTTATCAACCGACGAATTCAACATCTCTGTTCGACAGGCAATCGATTTTTATCGACTCCGCATATATCCTGGAAGAATTTTATTCGTTGGATTCTCAAGGAATAGGATTTCTTCTGGAACTCGACACGCGAAAAGTAAGACGCGCGACGCGAATGGCAGACTACGGTAATAAGTATCGAAAGAAAGAAGGTCAAGGATACATTCTCCAGCCGTATAAACTCGATTACCGTGCATGCAATACGGTAAACCAGCTGACGAAAGCAACGAACAGTGCTTCTTTGAACGATCCGCCAAACTATGCATGCATCTTACACCGTTCTCCAACCCGATCACCTTGCGATCTACAATGTTCTTCGAGCGAGTGTCTTATCGAACACGAGCGAAAAAATAATTGGATAAACTGATAGAGAACGGGATGACTCATCGATCATTTACAAACCGAGGCTCGGTTTTCAGTCTATTCTTATTAGTTACCAATCGATAAAACGATCGGCTGATTCATCTAGCTGTCTAAACTACGTGTCATTGTATGTACAAATAAAACCGATTTTTATTTTCCTTCGACGATAATGCAAATACACGTGTACATTGTACAGTGAACGTTCTAAAAGAGTCTCGTTTTCCTTTCTTGCCATTGTACCCGTGATGTTACATCAGGCCATTCACTGCAAGGGGAATTCTCGATAACAGTAATAATGCAGAAAGCGAAGAAACGCGTTTAATGCTTATGTAATAACGCATAACCATCGGTTGCGTTCCTTGCTTCCGGTTTTAACGTCCTTCTACGGAGGCAACGAATGTCTACTGTAGTCTGCAACAAGCGAATCACAGATATCAAGCAACATTTGTAACCACAATAAACAACGCTTGCTTGCATTAACCGAGTAACGAACAAATTTTTCATTTCCGTAACAATTAAAAACGCCTCGTAATTTCTGCTTTCACCGCGGACAAACTTTCGAAGGATTGTGAAAGATTTTTACCGTTACCGAGCTCCCTTCGACACAAAAATTGGAAATGTTTCCGAGAGAAACACGTGTACCTTTCGTCGACGTAACGTCAGCTCGGTAACGCTTCTCGCTCCACGATTAATTTCTTTCGAACTGCATATTACGAAACGAGCATCGTTGCACTCGGCTAACGATAGGAATTCCACCAGCTTAATCTCAGCAATGCTATTTCATTTTTCCTTCTCTTTTATTACTTTTATCCTTATTCCGATACTCAGTCGATGCGTGGTAAGTATCTATTTAGACCTAATTCAATGAGCATGCCACGCGGTGAAGGGAGGTTACCAGATGGTTACAAGCACCTCGGTATCCGCGCGCAAGTATTTTCGTCAATTAATAAGACCAATTATCGCGTTCAATTAGCTACCCAACGGTAATTAACGCGTCGTACACATTCGCCGGGTTAAAACGCACCGGATTGCGTAATTATTGCCGAGTCGTCGAAGGTTAATTAACGCGACCGAGTGTTCCGCGCGATACAATCGCTTCGACTATGTAATCTCTGAGCATTCTTAGTCATCAAAGTTTCTCCCATAACTTTCTATCTATTTCCTTCAACTATTTTAGTCAATCCCGGAACTACGGAAGCCTGAAAATCGCAGCTTCCAAGTTACCACTCTAACTGTTGTCGTTCGATGAAAGGAGCTTTTAATCATCGCTCGATTACCAACAAGAAGGTTGCAACACCGGCAACTTGGCGGAGGGAATAGTAGACGAGGCGAGGTTACCTTACGCCTTACACCTTACGGGACAAGCAATCGGATACGCGCGACATGTCGTCAATCGAATTACGCATGTCGCGCGAAATTTCATCTTTCCCCGAGGCTGACCGTTAAACGTAAACGTACACTTGTAGGTAACCGTATACACTAGCAATGTAAGGGAAAAGAAGAAAAGATCCGCTTAGAAAACGCGTAGGCGTTAAGCGGCTGATTTCGTCGTCAGTTTCGTCCTTAGAAATGATCCAATTGTTCCTCGGACGAAACGGGGCTTCTCTTATGCCTAAACTTTCCTCTTTAACGCTATAGAGCGACTAATTCCTTGAAGAACAGATCAGAGAGAAAACGTAAGAAAGGTTTCGTATGGTTTGGCAAGATGCGCAGGTTTCGAAGCACGTTCCAGTTTCCGGTTCGTTAAACGGTCGTCTTTCGACCGATTCGCGGATACCCCGTTACGGGCATTAGATCGAGCAGGAACGATCATCTAGGAAGATCGTGCAGCGAGAAATTGAGGCAGGTCGAAGGAGAAAGAGCTCGTTGGCAAATTATCCGGGGCTATCCGTATTCAAACGGACCCACGGAGCTTCCGGGTTATCTAATGCGAGAAAGTCAGAATCATCGCCATATTCGATTTACCGATCTTAATTCTCCGCTTTTTCGCTTGCAACGTAGGACACGATTTACGATTAATCAAAACGCAACATTCCACTGGAGCGCGAAATGGAAAAGCAAACAATCGTCGTGAGTACACGAATGGTTTAAATGTGACCGCGTGCTTCGAATGCTCAGACGTTACTTGAAATTCCGCTAACATCGTGGCGCGAGCAAGCACGCGCCTCGACCAATGGCTCGGACGAGAGGAAGAAGAAGGCTTTTGTTAACGCGATGTATTAAAGGAAAGTGAAATGCTTGAATTATGTACACGTAGGAAAAGAAAGTAACTCGTACCAGGCCACTATTGAACCGTATCAATCGCAAACTTCTTTTTGCATCCAAATCACGAACTGTTGCGAGCTTTTAACTTCTACTCTCTTTCACGCTGATTCTAACGAGAAAATTATTGTTTTTAAATTAACGCTATCAGGCTAATTTCAACCTTCGTTTCGCTCCAACGATAACTGGAAACTTAGGTGTTGAAAAAAATTGGAAAGATATTGCTCCGATAAGAAATCGAAAATTAAAAGGTATCGGTGACTCACCTTCGGCTTCTCCCGTTTCCTTTTAATGATTAGTCCATCGTTCTCGATATAATCGGGCACGTCCTTCCGGTTACTGAAATTGAACACCATGGTGTTGTTCTGTTGATTCCAGGGCTTCGTCTCCCATAGACCGGCGCCACCTGAACCGGTCTTTTTCGCAGGTTGAATCTCATCCGCGCTCTTCAAGCTAACCACAACCTTGGTAGGTTGTTCTATGCTCTTCACCCGATTGATTAGATTCTTTTCCAGCTCCCGGTTGCTCAAATTCTGTTGAGGATGCTGCGTCTTGGTCGACACGAGTGGTCTTATTATCCCTATTTGTTTTTGAGGGGGCGATTCGTTGCTCTTTTGGCATCTTATCGTTTTCGAATCGTTCCCTTGGGGGTAGGAGGTGATGGTCGAGGACTTGATCAAGCCTAGGCTACAGATAGCCCCGATCGGTTTGTTATCAACGTTAACCTTCGCGTCGGTATCTTCTTTACTGTCCTCGATCTTCCTATCGCGTTTGTCCGTTTCTAGCCTCTCCTGCAGCCTCGATACCACCGTCTCTTGTTCCGTTACGGCTACGTTCCCTGTATCGTTTCCCGTCTCGTTCCCACTAGAATCGGACAAAAACGACTTGCCCCTCGACTCCGACGGCTTGGTCTCGTTTCTAGCATCCGGCTGTTCGTCCGTCGCCTTCTGACCGTTCTGCTTGAAACCCGGCAGGTAGGACTTGTTCGAGGCGGGCTTGTCGTTGAAGCTGAACTGCATCGTGACCCCGGTTCTCGCGATGTTCTCCAACGCTGCTTTCGAAATGGTTTTCGGTGCGTCGACCTCCTCCTCCGCGAGCTCATCGTCGTTGGCTACCACCGTCGGATCGACCGGGAACTTTGGCTCGTCGAGCTTCTCTCGTTCCGCAGGACTCTGTATCCTTTCCGGCGACCGCTGTTGTCTCGGATGTTCCGCGGTGTTATTTACCGTGGTCTCGTCGGTTCGTGGGAATTTGCTCGGTTCCGAGGAGGGCAGGGACATTTGTCTGAGCAGCTCCCTGCTGGGACTCGGCGGTGGCTTGTGGACGGGACTGGAGTTCTGCCTGGGCAGCTCCTTCATCGGGGACGGTGGACTGTGCCTGGTCGCGTTCTCCTTCATCGGTGACGAAGGGCTGTGCAGCCTGGGCGAGGGAATTCTGGGGGAAAGAACGGGCGTTACCGGCGGGGATTTCACGCTGATCTCTAACGAGGACTTGAATTTACTTAATTGAGGCTCGGGACTCGGCGCCGGGGAGAACTTGAACTTGAAGGATGGCTCGGGCGAGGGCGAGGGAGAATGCGATTTTTCGATCTGCTGGAACTTGCTGACCACCGACGACACCGACTGCACTATGGGGTCCGTGATCACCCCGTCGAAGTGGAACTCCTCCTGCGTCTCGATCAATTCGGCTGTCGGTTTCTGCGGCAGCACGATCTTCTTCGGGGAACCGGCCGTTCGCGAATTCCCGTTCACGAAAGGTTTCGGTTGAACCGGTGGTTTGGTCACCATCTTCTTCTGCGTGCTCTGCGCTTTGAACGTGTCGTTGATGGTCTTGAACGTGGCTACCTTCGCTGCTACCTCGCCCTTCGGTTTCAACTTCTTCGCGGACCCCTCGAAGATTCTCATGGTGGTCTTGACTAGATCCGGCGGCGGCCTCTCGGTCTCCGCCAGCAACGGTTTGATTCTCTTCGGTTTATTCACGGCTTTCGGCCTGTCCAACTCGCCCAGTCGGCTCTCTATCTTAACCGTGGTCCGATCTATCAGGATAATGTGGTCGTTGACCGGCTCCTGCTTCAGACCGTTCGCGGCCACGCGACCGGTTAGGCCACGAGTACCGGCCACCTCGTCCGCGCCATTGTACCTCAACAATGTCTCCACGCTTCTCGCTCGTTTCATCGATTCGTTCCCGCGCGAAGCGTTTCTATACCTGTCAGTTTTCGTCGCGGCACCGGTCGTCGCCCTCTTCGCGTATTTCCTAGCGCTCTTCTCGCTCGACTCCTCCTCGCAATCGAGCAGATCCTCGAGGCTAGCCGCGCGTCGGAAACGTTGAACCGACACGCGGCTCTTGTTCATCTCTCTCAGAGTGAGGTTAAGATACTTACTTTTCAACTTGTTCACGATACCCGGTCCGTATTGCAACTCCTCCGAGCTATCGCTTTCACCGTCGTCGCTCGACGACCCTCTGTTCCTCGCCATTTCCGTTTCGATTTTACCCGTCTTGCTTTTCGATACCTCCATCAGAACGTCCCTTTCCACTTTGTTCGTACCACGCAGCGCACCACCGCCGCCGCCGCCACCACCACCGGTTGTTACACGATGCTCCTCGCAGCCAGCCAACGGATCGCTGCTACTCTTCCCGTCTTCGTTCTCCGATCCGTCCCCGTGTTCCGATTTCCGTTCCGTGTCCGTCGGCTTGCTCAACGTACCGTTCGCAACATCCTCCGAGTCCGAGCAGAACGAGAGATCCGCCTCGAGACGCATGTTGCACGCGACTGTCGAGCCGGCGACCTCGGTAGCCACGATCGTGCCGCCACTGACGATGGCGCCACACGCCGGTCCTCTCGAGAAAAACGGGCAAGAAGATACAACGACACCAGCTATGGCGCTTCCACCACTACCACCGTTACCGCTCGAACTGTTCACCGTGTCCGAACTCTCCTCACCGGTGCTGGCCGTTCGCGTTCTCGACGAAACGTTGCCGGTTAAGCACTGCTCCTGACCACCGGACGGATCGACCGCATCCGTCGTACTGTTCGTCGTTGTAGCCGCCGGCGTGCCACCTATCACCGCTGAACATAGCTTCACGCTCGCTCCGTTGTTCGCGAGAACCTTGTTCTGTTGCCTGCGACGCTGGATCAAGTCTCTTTTCCACTGTGGCACGTTGTTGCCGCTCGTTTCGCCGGCGCTTGTCGTCGCGTTGCTGGCGGTAGCCATGTTGGACGCGCGATGGGCGCGTTCGCAAACGCGCGCCCGTCTCTACACGACCAGCTTCCCCCCCACCCCGCCCCTCGCCCTGTTCCGCCGCCGATTCTGCCGCTGTCAAAATTCTATTCCTTTCCTTTCAAACGCGACGACGCCCGGTTCTCGTGCCTCCTGTACCAACCTTCCCGTCGACGACAACGCGAGCACCAGCTGCGAAGGTTCGCTGAAAAATCGATGTCGCCGACGCATACGCGTATAACAGGGTTGCACGCGCGAAAGGTTGACAGAAAACACCTTTCGTATGTCTTTTTGTAGATACATGAACGTTCAGTACAACATCTTTTGCGTTACTCGTGCTACGAAACCCTCTGGCCAATGATTACTTGTCATCAGAGAATCGTATGCGAGTAATCAGAATCAGTACAACTTGAATCGAGTTGTAACCATATAATCGGGATAATAGTCGAAAAGGCACCTGTTTGTTGGTTAACGCACCGCATTCGCACACGCGCACAGATACCGACGGGACTGACCAGCGACTGGACGGGTTGGGTTTATCGTGCCCGTACTATTTCACTCCATGGTAACTGTCGCGTCCGCTTCCTGGTGCAGCCTCGTACCCGGCGAAGGCTCGCCAATCGCTGGAAATCGAAAGTACCTGACTTGTGAGCACGCACTCGCGCACGCACTCCCGCACCCACACGAAACGCCGACGAAAGGCGAGCGTGTGGCCCTCCTCGTTCGTTCGCTTCCACACCACTCCTGCTCCTGCCGAGATATCGCCTCTCTCTCCCAACTATGCACCGGCCCCCTCTCTCGTTCCACGCGACACAGCCGAACCGTGTCTTTCTTTCTCTTTCACCCTTCTTTACTAGCCCCGGTTTGCCTTTGCGACTGCTCGCTCCACGCCACCCTGACGTCATGATCTCGAAAGACGCCGCTCCTATTCAATAGGGACATACCATGGACTAATATCGAAATCGTGTTTACGTTCGACCTTACAGGGACGTGAGTCGCGATTTCAGCCTCCACTTCGTACGCCGGGAAATATTAAACCGGCTTTCCAGTTTCCACTTTACCGACCTTGCTTTTACCCTCTTTGCATTCCTCCTTCGACGTTCTTAGATGACTCGTCGAATCTTATTAAAGGATTATAAACAAAGGCAACGATATTTTGTTCGAGACCACCCGTCCTACCTTTTATCGTTCAACGAAGTCAATGAGAAATTGTAACATGTGCGGAGCAGGTTTAAAACGAGGGGGAAGCGCATCCGGTGCTCTATAATAACGAGTACGAGAAAAACAGGACGTATCTGAGAATCGGAACGAACGACGACCCAAAACGTGGAATCCCGAGCACTCGGCTCGTTTCCTCCAGTTCCGTGACGCGTCAGACCCTCTCGGAATGTTTGTCCATCGGGCGTTTTACGCGAAACTCATGTGTGGGTGTTATTATCTCGTTACACCGTACACTGGCCGTTTCATACCCGCGGGATTATGTATATACAGGCTTGGTTGGTTCACGAAATAGTTTACTTCCGGTGTTAGCGCTGCTATCGAAGCGTGCAAACATTCCTGCTATCTTCGACACCCGACCGAAAAAATTCAAACATCCTTCCGGATAACTACGCCTATTCGATTGTTCTCTTCCAATCGATCGATCGATTTCACTCAAAACTATAACGCGAAACCTGTTACGGATTCGCTCCAGACACTACAATGATGCTTTTAAGCTTCGTTAAACGATAGAAACGCCTACAAATCATTAAACGGAACGCACGCAACTTATGCAACTGTTTAGCATGATCTATCACGTGCGATCGATAAATCTGGAATGTCGCTTTAACGACTCTTTTTCCCCGTAAAATATCTACTTACTTATAAATTGTTTAACTTTTTTACAGCTTTTACAACGTTCTTCAGTTATACAACGGTTCTTTATCCTCGATATTCACGTAATCGTCACTTCGCGAATTATCACGCTATTCGTCCAATTGTAATAGAAATATAAAAGAGTGTTACCTATTCTCTTTCGATAAGTAGTTACTTTTAATTGGTATTCCTAACAGCTGTCTCTATAAACTGTTCCTTTACTCGTGCCCGAATGTGTTCGAAACACGTACGAGATAATGGATGCCATGTGCTAACGTATCTTTTATAAGTTCGTTAAGTACAAGAAAGCAAGATGGCTGCCAATACTCGACGCGTACCAAACCAGTTCCAGTATGAAACCGGTTTGGAACTAGTTTTCATTGGTTTTTCGGTCCCCTACAAGACCGTGCCACGACCGAGATTGGCACTCGTGCCGGACTTCTCTCAGAGATTGGAACGGAGCTTACGTTACCCGAGTACGCAAATATGGCCGATGTTACAGAGCAGAAAGGTAAGAAAAACTGTTCTTAAACGTAGTCCCATACGTCGTGCTGTTGCGTTCTGTTCATTATGAATTCCATCCTGTTCCGAACATCTGCTTCTTCGAAAGTTGCACAGTCCCGAGTAGTACGCTTCCATCTGCTTCCTGTCTGGAATAGTTTTGCGCGGGAAAATCGAACATCTTTCTATCTTTCAATTCCTAATACACTTAATTTTTGATAAGAAGAGAAGGACGATGCGCAAACGGAAATCAAAGTGGAACCAACTTTGCAATGCTACGTCGAAGAAGAACACGAGAACGGATTTCCCGGTTTTGAAGGTAACAACGCGATACCCTCCAGTGCAGATGTTGGCGCACTGAATCTGTGGACCAGCAAGGCAACCACGTGCCTCATTAGTCAATACAAGAAGTACAGATCGATGGTAGGACAATCGACCCAGATACGAAGTCTGCGCGAAATGTTCGAGATGATTTCTCTCGAAATGCAAAACTATGGATTTTACTTCAGCCCTCAGAAATGCGAGAACAAGTGGCGAGTTCTCGAACGTAAGTACAAGAATCTGGTATTTCGAGAACGACTGAAGAAGCCGGGCAGAATGAGGCACTATGGCCACTGGGAGCATAAAAGAGCCTTGGATGAAATTTTTCATGAAAAGAAACGGCACATGTACCTGGAGGAAAACGATTTTCCACCATCGGCCGGATCTGCGAAATACACTTTTATTTTACCGAAACCTACGAATACGGAGCAAAGTAGCGCCAGCGACAATCAGCAGCAGGAGGACCCTCTAGCGGCGTTAACGTCAAACTCGTCGACAAACTGCAAACGCGACGAGTTGGATTCGAAAGGAGCTTTGACAACTATCTTCGAGAAATTTTTTAACGAAATGACGAAAAACTTCTCGATCGCGGAGAAGAACAAAGAGAGAAGGCATAAAGAATTAATGGCGATACGACAAAACGAACTGGACGTTCAGAAGAGACTCTTAAAATTAAAGGAACAAAAGTTGGAGATACAAAAATGTAAAATTATCGCTGCTGCTCAACACTTACATTTGAATATGTAGTAGCATTGTTGTCCTGTTCTTCCAACTCCAACAAAATGTATATGTATCAGTGATTGTAGATTTTCTGTAAATGCGAATAATGTTCTCATTCTTATATGAAACGTTTTCTAAGGTGTAACATAATAATACAAATATTTATATAAATACATAATTTAATTTCTAAAAGATACATACCCAAAATATTCTAACAAGTAGTCACTGCAGGTAACCAGCAGATGGCAGCATCTTCCAGCTTTGAACTCCGCGGCTGTATTTTTTGAATCCTTCGAATCTTGGAATGTTCAAGATGAATTTATTAATCATTTTCAATAATCATAAATGGCTTCATCGGGATAAGAGGAATATTTTTATTCGTAGAATGCTCGTACCTCACGTGGCGCAGCACAAAGTCACGCTGTTCTTTCTTTTTATTATTAAAAGTTGCACCGCGGACGCTTCGGCTCAGCGTTCAAGATTTACTTTCACTACGTATTCTGGCTACTGCTTCTAATGACTCAATTTATTAAGCGGCGATTCAAAAGATCGCCTCCCTATGCTTCGTCGCATTGATATCGCACCTTCGAAAGATCACGCATGCGTACAGCTCGACATAGATTTACGACGTTGAAACGCATTTTCATTATTCTATCTTATCGGATTAACAGAGATCGAAGCTTTTTCCTTCCTCTGGTCTTACGCTTTATTTATGGCTGGTGTACACAGATGCGAATCATGAATTATTAGTGTTGGCAACAGTCACGCAACAGCAACAGAATCGAGTTGATGTTGTTTAAAATATAAGATACGGTTCTTAAAGAACGGATACGTAAAATTTGAAGTGGAATAACCGGGATTCGGCGGGGAAAGTTAAATCACCGATTCAATCGTTTCAGTGAATCGTATAATTTCCTGTAATTAACATTCTCCGTGCAATCGCGTTAATTGAAATGCTGTGAGAAAAAAAGAATCTAATGGAAAGCGAAACGATACCGTGCCTGTTCAATAATGTATTTTCTGTGTTTTCATAGAAAGATATTCTTTTATCGTATCGGCTTGAAATTTGACAGGATATTCCATGGGATCGTGCTTGGTCACGGTGATGTTAGGATCGTATCTTGATTCTGCACTGGACTACCTTGGTGTCACCTTACATTATCCAGTGCATGACGATTATACGTTTGGAATTTGGAAAAATTCATTCCTGTCACGCAGCATGGATCAAACAACAGGTAGTTTATCCCGATAGAACCATTCACCGTACCTTCTAATTCCGTCTATGCGAGATATTTTAGATCGGTCGACGAAATTGCATAAATTTCCGCGCTCGTTTAACCACAACGTTATATTATAATTAATATCGATCGTCTTTGTGAAATACTGGAATACAGTCTCCCGCAGCAGTTTACGTGTACGCCGGAGAAAACGACAAAGGGCAAACAATTTTACAAACCATCGCGCGAGTGCTTTTCGGGTAAAAATCGGTGAAACCGGTTACACCCGTCCGTTCGAGTATTCGCACGCACCGATGATACGTACGTACACGGTGCACAAGCGCACAAGCCGTGGTAAGCTGTTATACTGTCGTAGATGTAGGCGCAGTACGGGTGATAGTGTAAAAGGCGTAGGGCGGTCGGTTCTTACGGAACGGCCCTGAGTACGGTGGGTAATAGTGTCGAGGCGCCCGGTCGTCCAGTCGAGCCGCGACCACGGAGCGGTGAACGTGGACTCTTGTAATATCTCTTGAATATCGACGGAATAAACAGGCAGGGGAACGGCTGGTAAACATCACTGTGTTCGACATGAATTCTTATTGGAGCGTGCAGGGTTCTGGTGCGAAAGCTGGCTGCTGGTGGGTGGATTTTCGTTCTGCTGAAATTTCGCGTGCACAGGAGTAAACAGAGAGGGCGAAGGAGGACACGCGATTCGTTGATGCATGTTCACGCACGCGTACACCTTTCCTAGCATACATACACAGCAACATGTATGTACATTATACGCAATGTGTATTCTAGCGATCGTGGCCAGGTTCGCGTGAATGTTTTAACGTCAATTAATTGTCAAATCCAAAGTTTGGTATTCGACGATCAATGCAAAGTACTCGTAGCGCATCTGTCGTAAAACTGGGCGGTCGTTCGATGACTACTTTTAAAGCAGACCTTGAGGCAAAGCTGCGTTTATGAAAACATTGACAATACCGGATACGTCAATAGCGATCCTCGACGTGACTACAGCTCCGTACTCGAAGGAAAAATAAAGAGAAAAAGGGAACGAATACGTGATCAGTACGTGGAGAATTTCTCGAAGGCATCCTTGAGCTCGTTGTCAAGGAGAGAAAGATAAGAGTGAATCGGTTTCCAACTGTCGATACGCCTGATTTCGTTGCATCCGCGTTGCACGAAAGAGACACCTCGCGAGAGAAAGACAATCACGAACGTGTGTCGGTGCAACGATTCGGAATTGTATGCACCCGTGTCCTGGTCTGCATCGCGTTTTGCAGCACGCCGTGGGCCCCGAAGGCTCTGTCTAAGTAACAGTACTTCCTCGCGCTCCCTGGAACAAGCCTCTCTCCCGAAGAACGGGACCCACACTCCACGAGTCCGCTCTCCACGTTCTCCTGGCTCTTCGTCCCTCGTCTTACAGCCGCGCGTCCGCACCGCACCGCGGCTAGCTCACTCTCTTTCTATCTGTATCCCTCTCCTTTTATCGTGACCGAAGTAGTCTGTCCGGTCGAGCACGGGGAGTCTCGTGAAACCAGTCCTCGTACGGTGGACCTCTCGGTTGGGACCTGGCTAAGGAGAGGAGGTTGCTCGCTTCTCGTGTAAACCGGCACCTTTTGCACCTGCCGCCGCGTGATACAAACGTTTTTCGGCTTTCCAACCAACATCACTCGATGTTTCAACGGGATACCGGTGACCAGAGATTTTCCGCGAATGTTTATCATCGCCTAACGGAGTGATTTCAACCTCGAACGAGGACCGCTGTGTGTTTATTCCACGAACCAGTCCTGCCAATCGGAACACGCACCGCTCGTTCCTTAAGTGGCACGCTTTTGTATCCAACGCGATAATTCAAGTTTCCGGATAATATCATCTACGATCATCGTACGACCATCTACGCGAGTGTTTGCGAGTGATTTTTATCAATTTGGAGTAAAGCTAAGAGAAGGACGAAGCGTTGTTTCAATTAAGCAAGAAAGATATAGGAAAGTGAGAGAAAAAGACTGCTAGCAAAATTTTTATCATTCCAGCGAACAAGGAACAAATCACAACCCGTTAAGCGAACGTGATGCTCCTGTCAGAGTACGCGACAGTTGATTTGCTCATAGCTCATTTTTCGAGGACACTCAAAATTACAAACAAGAAAAGTATTACGGATTTACGGAACAGAATTCAGTAAATACTGAAACTGATAAGACGCGCGAGTGAAAAGAACCGCGTCAAACCACCGCCGCCATGACAATCACTATCCAATCATACCGGAGGTTAAGGTGTACCATACGAAACTAACAATAAGATGAACGAAGAAATTTGGTATTTTGAGAGTGCAAAGGTTGTCGCGAACGGTACAGCTGCAGGATTATCAAGCTGGTGAAAGAGAGGTTATGTGCCTCTCTCCGGGCTCGACCTAACCTCCAAGTGTCTCGGTCGCGAGTCCCACTAATCTAATTTGTGCCTCTTACCTCTGAGTACTCGAAGGATACCTCGGCCGTTCGTTGCGATATTTAACTTCCTTTTATTATTCTTGAAGCACCGTTCTTCGATTTCGTCAAACTGGAACCACGAACGAACACATCGCCGGTCAACGGGAGATTTCGACCCGCCATTATTGAAATCGTTTAACACGATCCCCCGTGTGAGAGTACTCGTTTAAACGGATCCTGAAGGTCTACTTTTCTTTCAGTGCCTCGAACGACACTCGAGAACTACGGAAATACAATTCAGTTAACTTTTAAAAATTGTCCCGACTAAATAGTGTTAACGTATTCGACATTTATGCGCACTAGTTCGCAACAGCTTGAAGCGCGGTTCGATCGCGCTAGCGTAATCGATTATCGAGCCATCTCGATTGAGTTGACGCGTGAGATCGCACAGTGACGCGATTTACGCGGCGAGGTGGTTGATCTGTGGAGGGATCGTAAAGAGTAAAGGTGAAAAGTAAATGTAAATACGGTTAAAATCACAGTGATTTGGTTTTTCTCGCTTGTGCGTCTCTGTTCGTGCGTTATATTTTCTCAATCGGTACTTGTGCCGTGTGTTTTGCTGCCGAGACGAATCGATGGATCGACGCTGAGGAAGTTGGCTTGGAGAATTCGCGGAGAAAGAGCCAGAAATGAAGACCACACAACGTGCACTGAGGTAAGCCCTCTATGAAAATATACGTACGCGAAGGAGCATTACATATATGTATATTTAGTATGGCTAACGATAACAGTATCGCCATTTGGTCGTACGCAATAAAATCTCGCTCGTTGGTTAACGAGCAACGTAACGAGTCACATTTGTTCGAACCGTTGAAAAGTTACGGCACGTTGACGCTACGACAAACATAAATGAAACGCATTCCTCGACAGGATCCTCTTACGTGTACCGTTCCCCTCGGAATCTGGGTTAACCTTTTATTTGTTTCCGCGCAAAGCGTCGTACATCATGGCGGCCATGTCACGTGACAAGGGCATCATTTCGAATTATAATTCTCTTTCTTCGAGTGCAATATCTTTTGTCCCGATTGAAAATAAGACACCTCATTTACTAAGAATGTCCGTAGGTGGCAGTAGCCCGACATGATATTTGCAACATCCTATTGCATCTCGATCGTAAACAATATCGCGATGGCGTAACGCCAAATTCCCTAGCGCAGAATTCTCGAACGTTATTTCCTAAGGATTTATTTTCATAGGATTACTTTGGAATCGTTTCTCGCTATTCTTGCTCGGATAGTTTTATTTTGACGATCGATGTAAAAAACACATGGTTCGATGAAAGGAACACGGTCGTTCCGTAATCGATTTAGCCATTCGGGTGGAAAGTAAAGTTCCGACTGTCGTCGTACAGAAGCAGATAAGATAGGATACGATCACATACGAATGACTCTGTAAATGTTAGCCGGGGGTATTACGCGAAGGCTTTGCATCGAAAATGTCAGCTGCTCACCGGCTGACGTTTCGT